GGTACGGCCTGAGTAAATGTGTCCATGTTCTCCATTTCATTGAGGATTTCCGGAATTCCTTCGTCACTAACCAGGTCTTTGCTAATAAGAGCGCGGCAGAGCTTCAAGAATGGCACTGTCTCATAAGGGAATCGCGACCGGGCTAGTCGAAAGATATTGTCCATCAAGAGGTCATCCTTGATAAACACATACCGTGGGTCACTAGAAGGTGAGGCCAGACTATTTATGGGCCATAGAGGTTCTGTGGATGAGCCCACAAGAATCGCCAGAACTGATTCCACAATTTCGGGTGAATAATCCAAGTACACCACGGCCACTCGAATGAGATCCAGGAGCACCGTTCGAGCCCAACGGTTCGTTAACATGTCGTCAACTGCAGACGTGGAGCCAACTTTGGTAGCCAGGTTCATGATAATCTCAAATGCCATGATTTTCACTTCATCCGAGGTCAACAGGGTTATAGAATCATCAGCCGTGTACTTCGGAGTTCGTGCACATTCTAATAACTCCTCATAAAGTGAAATTTCTGAAGCTCCGCCTGCCGTAGATTGAGGGGTATTCGATTGAAATGAGTCAACTGCGCTGTGAAACTGTTCCAACTCCCGGTTCTCTTTGTCGTTGAGGGCAAGCTCTCTCATAGTGTTTAAAACCAGTCCCCACGCGAATGCCGCAGGGCTTGCAACTTTGGACTCCACCACCGCAGAGACAAAAATCTCATTCACCTGACCAATCTCATCCTTCGAGAGAAAATACGGTGGTTTCGTATTTGGCTCTGGCGTACGAGTTTTATTTATGATAGAGGGAATAGTAAGCGGTAGCTTCATGAATGCAAGGGTCGTCAAGCTCACGAAAGCCTGAAGAGGGAGTAATACTTCTGGCGGATTCTGGCATGGCTTTATGGGGTCAGCTTCTTAAAATTTGATAGCAGGAATGAAGTCTAGTACTACTCACAATTTGGAGTGGCTCAAGGAAGTTGTAATCGCCCATGAGACGAAGCCAGGACACGAAAACATCGGCGGAAGGAAGCTCCGCAGATGATTGGAGCTGTAGGAACAGAATTTGCACAATGTGCAATATCTCTTCAACAAGAGCCGTTCGCCACAGATCGTCCACGGCCTCGCTACTTTCAGCGAGTCCTAGCCATCCTCCATCACCCTCCAATGCCGAAAGTCGGCCCTGGATAGCTTTGATGCATGCTTGAATGAATGTGCGGCATTTATCGCCAGAAAGCCTGTCGTTGAAGAGTGTCGCTCCCAATTGGCACAATAAGTCACTCCTCCGTTTCTGTTCGGACTTTTGCGGAGCGGGTTCGTTGACGTTGCTGCGCAGAGAGAGCGCGAATAGCCTCCGAGCCGTCTTTATAATATGTGTCCTTTCCGACAAGTAAAGCTCTCGCAGACGCAGGCGCCTACTTTCTTCAGAAACAAAACTCGAGGCATTGTCCTCACGACTGACTCTTTGACTGAAAATTTCAGCAAAGCTGGGTCCAGCCAGCGACATGCGAAAGTTCTCGACACCAGCTGCGCTTTGCAAACTTGTAGATTCTTCTTCAGAGAATCCAGACAGAAGGCGCGTAGCAGGGCGGTTCTGCCATTCTAAGACTGCAATTCTTAGGGCGCTGATTTCGTCGATACCGGCTTTCTGGCTCAGCCACAAGGCGTCTTCTTTGAGTTCCTTTAGGTTATATGAAGCTTGCGCTGTGGTCTCCGCGTGGATCGCAGCCGTTTTCGACTCAAAATCTGACTTTGTTTTCGCCGAAGAGGAGGTGAACCCGTCCAAACAATTTGCAAGAAGCTGAACGCTTTCTGGGTGCGACAAGAAAGCATGGAGACTGCCGGTATCGTCTACGTCATCCTCGGGGTTGCATGTGTAGAGAAATGCTCTCTTCCAGGACCTAAAGGGATATTGCAGTTAGCCTTACTCTCCGTTGTAAGTATTGCAGATGCGCGTACAGAAGCTGGACGTCCCCGGAGAAGCACCTGTCCAGGGACGGGAAATAGGCTTCCGGAACGGGAGCCATTGGCGCAACAGCTATATCATTCTAAGACCTCGAAAGATACAGCTTTTATGCACAGGTATGAAGGACCTAAAATGAGTAAGGTCGATAAAGCACTAAGTGTAGGAAGCTGAGAGCGGGAACTCAAATATTCAAGGAGCACTTTTGGCTGAGGTCAACAATCAATTCCTATCTTGGTTTAGTGCTAGGCGGTGAGGCTAAATTTTGTGCAGTTTGACAGACAAGCCCGTTTGGGAAGGCGATTTATCCGATGCGGCTTCAGTGAGTCAAACTCCCCGCGTTACACAATTCGTTGCCCAACCCTTCAAAAAAGGTGAGTTAGGGTTGTTGCTTGATTGATAGATTGCTGTTTGCACTTATGCTTCTCACGTATATTGTTCTTTTCACTTATTGACTAATACGCCTCTCAGATCCAGGTCTTCGTCATGGCGGGCTCCGATCTCGTTGACCACTCCCCCCACCATCCCACTAAAGCCGCACGGCTTGATAGCGCATCAAATGTCATTCTGATCGACAATTACGATTCTTTTACCTGGAATGTTTATCAGTATCTGGTCCTTGAGGGCGCCACCGTCCAGGTGTTTCGCAATGATGAATTATCCTTGGAAGAGTTGATCGCCAAAAAGCCGACCCAATTGGTCGTCAGTCCTGGTCCGGGCCATCCGACAACCGACGCTGGAATCAGTAATGCTGCAATTCAATACTTCAGCGGTAAAGTACCGGTTTTTGGTGTCTGTATGGGTCAGCAATGCATTATCTCTTCCTTCGGTGGCAAAGTCGATGTCACAGGAGAGATCTTGCATGGTAAGACGTCGGTGATAAAACATGACGGCAAAGGTGCATATGAAGGGCTGCCGGCCTCCCTCGCCGTGACCAGATATCATTCCCTTGCTGGAACACACTCAACAATTCCTGACTGTTTGGAGGTGACGTCTTACGCCCAGTTGGGTGAGGACAGTGACAAGACCGTTATCATGGGTGTGAGACACAAGCAGCTTGCAGTGGAAGGCGTCCAGTTTCATCCTGAAAGTATTCTCACCCAGTACGGCCGAGGGATGTTTAGGAACTTCCTCAAACTTACGGCGGGTACATGGGAGGGTAACGGCAAACAATCCAGTGCACAGAGTGGCACTTCTGTTGCAACTGGGTTGGCTGCCTCGAATAGCACCCCGAAGGTAGACAAAAAGACTTCCATCTTAGAAAAGATATATGATCACCGCAGGGCTGCTGTTGCCATCCAGAAGAATATTCCTTCGCAACGGCCTGCGGATCTTCAGGCTGCTTACGACCTCAACATTGCTCCTCCACAAGTCTCATTCCCTGCCCGTCTAAGGCAATCACCTTATCCATTGTCTCTTATGGCTGAAATCAAGCGCGCTTCCCCTTCCAAGGGTATGATTGCAGAGAACGCGTGCGCCCCTGCCCAGGCTAGAGAGTACGCTAAGGCCGGCGCCAGCGTTATTTCTGTTCTCACTGAGCCAGAATGGTTCAAAGGTAGCATCGACGACTTGCGTGCCGTTCGTCAGAGCTTAGAGGGAGTTACAAATAGACCTGCAATCTTGAGGAAGGAATTTGTCTTCGACGAATATCAGATTCTAGAAGCCCGTCTTGCCGGGGCTGATACTATTCTGCTCATCGTGAAGATGCTAAGCGTCGAGCTTCTCACAAGATTGTATCATTATTCTCGCAGCTTAGGCATGGAGCCTCTCGTTGAAGTTAATACGCCGGAAGAAATGAAGATTGCGGTCCAGCTTGGAGCCGAGGTGATTGGCGTGAACAACAGAGACTTGACGAGCTTCGAGGTTGATCTCGGTACCACGAGTCGTCTCATGGATCAGGTTAACGAGAATACTATTGTTTGCGCTCTTAGTGGAATTTCCGGGCCCAAGGATGTCGAGGCTTACAAGAAGGAAGGCGTCAAAGCAATTCTCGTGGGAGAGGCACTTATGCGGGCATCTGACACATCTGCTTTTGTTGCAGAGCTTCTCGGGGGGACATCCGAGAAATCTTCTCAAACTTCTCGAACCTCGCCTTTAATCAAGATTTGTGGTACACGATCTGAAGATGGGGCTCGGGCGGCAATCGAGGCTGGTGCTGATTTAGTTGGTATTATTCAGGTACAGGGACGAAAGCGAACTGTTTCAGATGATGTTGCTCTTCGAATTTCTCAAGTTGTGAAGTCCACGAAGCGACCTGCCCCTCATTCCGCTTCGACGACTCAAGGAACACCAACTGCAGCTTCGGTTGATTACTTTGATCATTCCACTAATGTCCTACGCCATCCCAACCGTGCCCTGCTCGTGGGCGTGTTTCAGAATCAGCCATTGTCATACATCCTGGAGCAGCAACAAAAGCTTGAGCTCGACGTGGTTCAGTTGCACGGTTCTGAGCCATTAGAATGGACTAGATTAATACCGGTGCCTGTCATCCGCAAATTCGGTCTTGACGAGACTGGAATTGCACGAAGAGCCTACCACACCTTGCCCTTACTTGATTCTGGAGCTGGTGGATCGGGTGAATTGCTCGACCAGTCCGGTGTTCAAAATGTTCTGGACAGCGATGCTGGCTTGCGTGTTATCTTGGCTGGAGGATTAGATCCCACAAATGTTGCCGACACCATCAAGAAGCTAGGAAAATCAGGTTACAAGGTTGTTGGGGTAGATGTCAGTTCTGGTGTGGAGTCGGATGGCGTTCAGGATCCAAGTAAAATCCATGCCTTTGTGCGGGCAGTGAGAGGACTTCAACAGTAATCCATAGGCTTTTTTGTTCTCAGATACCAGCAACTTGTCACAGATCCGCAGCGATGATCTTTAATGAGTTTCCTTTTGTCTTTCGAGTAATGACTCTACACTTCATTTTCGGGCCACAATTCACTTTCGGTTTATGAGCTAGTTTCAAGACCCAATTAACTGTCTCAAAGCAGATGTGTTATTGCCAACAGTTCTGTATAGACTCAAGGGTTGCGCACTACGCTCGAACTCTCACTTTTAAGTCATACCAGGAATGTGCTCATCGTTGCTAGTTTGACCTTACGAATCATCCCATTCTTACGGATTATTTTTTCCCCTACTTTCCATCTAAGCTAGCTCTTTCACTCAGCCTAGCTGAGATGTAGTTTTTGCCAGATCATCTGATTTCCTTGTCTACAAGTTCTTTCCGACGATTTACCCACCCTGTCTCAGAACCCAGCCGCCCAACTACACTCATATATTCAATATGGGCAAGTCTTTTGCAAGGGTTCACTTATGCTCGGCTGGGAGGCTTGGAGACAGCGGTAATAAAATTCCGCAATGGGTTCAAGCAAACGGCGGAAGGTATTCTAAGCAAGTCACTCACGATGTGACGCACCTAGTTACAACCAAAGACGCCTATATGAACAACATCCCCGCAGGTTAGTTTCCCAACCTACATTGCTAGACTCTTGCTTTCCTAACGCATTCGAGTAAAGTCAAAGAAGCCAGACGTCTCGGGACTGTTAAGATAATATCGTATGAATGGTTGGAGGATTCTCTACTTTCCCGTAACCGGACGCCCAAACGGGAAAAGGCATATCTCATCGAGAATATCCTAAAGGAGGAAAGGAGAGCTGCAAAGGAGAAAGCCAGGAAAACCCCAAGGCAGCAGGGTAAGTCTACAAAACAAGCCCCAGGCAAGCTTACAGGTATGCTCACCCTGAATATATATACCCAATGACGTTTCATTTCTGAAACAGGACTCATATATTGATGTTAGGAAAAGCAAATATAAAAGGCCCTTTAGTTGTCAACCGTGGGGAAAACGCTGGTTCCATTACATGTATGTCCTCTGCTCCATGTGCATGAATGGCTTGGGGGCTGATGGTGAGAAAATATAGCGGGACATCATGTTTACACGGACATGACAGCCTGTCTAACATACAAAGCAACGCTTGTCCGACAGACAATCGCGAAGCGTAACGAGAAATTGCAGCTTACGGTTAGTTACATATCTGAATTTGATTCTTGACGACAGATTGTGTTGGTTAATCTATTCTCCACAGCCAATGCTGATAATTTGGTAACTACAGATCTACGAATCCAATGATAAACCGTGTACGTATGAAACCAAATGCAAATACAGCCGTGTTGGTAAATCAAACTCCCAGATACTTGCTCCAACCGGAAGCAGCTTGGACACGGCCCTCACAGCATTTGAACGAGTTTTCGAAGAATATACGGGAAAGAGCTGGGCGCTACGTGAGGACGGAATCCTGCCCGAGCCAAAGAGAGATAGTGAAGGTAACTTCGTACCTCCCCATGAGGGTTGGTACATCTACGAAGCCAGCACGAACTTGTTCCTCGACTTCATCCAGAACGGCTCGACCAGCAGCGCCAATGTCTTTGGAAAGTAATCTGGAAGCGGCAGTTTCAGTCGAGTTTTTGACTAGTTAGTGCTACTGATGGACGAAGTCTACTCTTTGTTTCACTGCCAGCAACCATTAGTAGCGAGCCAGAAGCTCCACTGTCTCTTTCTTGTACTTAGAGCTTCAAATGCCGAAGCTACAAGATTCTCTTGCTTGATGCCATCTTGTCTCATATGACTGCCCCATACATTCGGAAGAGAACTTGTATATGGGAGATAACATGAAGATACAACATCAGCGGACATCCATTCAGAACACCTAGGATCTGTTTCTCTAGACGGGTATACAATAGTAAACAGTGATGTTAAACAGCTAAATGCTAACCTTTTTAAACCTTCCAACACCTTAAGCGCCAAGACAGACTTTTCTTGTGTCTTCGTAAGATAAAGATACATCGCACCAAACCGCTGCAGCCGTCGCCAACGAACCGGCTCACAGGTAATCCTTCTTCTTGCTGGTCCTGGTGTACTGTGTAAGAGCCCATTCAACATCACCACTAGAACCTTTCTCCAGGGATCCGCCGCGGATCTCGAACAATCTCATGGTCATGCGTGGACCAACTTCGGCCAGTTCAACGTCCCGATAACTCGTCTTCACGAACACGTGGTGCCGAACTTCGATGCTGTCCTCTCTGTTCACGAAGCTGACAACACGGTTGCCAACCTTTCCAGCCTCGCGCGGAGGGAACAGATGCTTCAAAATTTGCACTACCCGAAGGCCTAGTTTGGTCTTGAATCCCTCAAAGATAAGGTGGGGGTAGCTCTCCGACACGGTCCCACGGGCAGCATTGGGGATGTCTGCACGAAGAACGACATTGTGAAGTGAGAAACTAGCCGTCGGCCCATGGGGTAGGTGAGAAATGGTCATCGCCGTGGGGGTTCCTCGATGTTCATGCAGGAGAACCATATCTGTCAACGCCGCAGCATTGGCACTCGATACAAGATCTGGGAGCACCAGACCACCACGGTTCAGGCGAATCGATGTTGGAAGAAGCAGACGGATTTCCTTTGCGAATGCGCCTAAGCGGACAGACGGGTTTCGAGAAGTTGTGACGATGGGACGAGGATCGACAACTCCGGATGTGAGGGCATATTCATCGTCAAGGTCTAGCATATCCGCATCCTTATCTTTCTTATCCGTGGTAGGTAAAGACTCGTCATATTTGAAATCTTCGCGAAGCTGTTTATCGTTTGCGATGGAAGGATCAAGGGGTTTTCCAGAAGCTAGCGAAGCCTTCAACTGGGCTCGCTTTTCGGCGATAGAGGCATCGCGGAGAAGCAAAGCTCTCCGATAAAGATAGTCTCGGCGCTCACGAGCTTGACGGCGCTAAGAAACAGTTAGTAAAAGTCTTCCAGTTCACAGGAAGGTTATTAAAATCCTGATAGGGCCAAACCGTACAAGCATTTTGTTTGGATGGATGTCTTTTAAAAACCTGGTTGAAGCTTTGTCTTTGGCGGGCAACTTTTTTTAATTGCATTGGTGGTCCGCATAGGCCACCGGACTGTGTGGGATTTGGCGGCAAATAGACCGATAATAAAACGAGGTGAGCCGATCGCAAACCATCGAATCGCCGAGTCCTGTGAATTACAACTTTGTACCATCGAGGACAGGCCGACTTACTTCATTAGGCTTTACGGTGAATTAGGGACTCGGTTACTGATCAGTGAGAGTTACATGTGAGTTTTCCTCAAAGCATCGCCCATTCCAGACCAGGAAGAATTCATCGCTGAGACTAGACCTAAGCCTCCCATTCTTCTTGCCCCTCTACTGTGGCACGCTGGGTTATCTTATAAATCAAGACAGATTCCCCTACCGCCTTGTTTTCTTCTTCAGCAACTGAGACGGCCGGTTTGCCCTTAACGCTCCTTCACCTCCATATTCCCTCAAACGATATATCAGGAAAGTTCGTGTATGACCGACTCGTGACTCTGATTTGTGGTGGACTGGGCGTTTCGGCTTTGCACCATTCCTGCTTTCCAGCTCTTTGATAGCGCCTTATTAGGAGTTTTTTTTTGCCACTCCCGGGAGAGTTTTTTAATCTGGATTTCGATCGATGATGGCAGCCCTAGGCGATGATTCAAGGGATTTGGATGACATAACTGGTGGTCTCCGCCCGCGGAGGCATGACGATGACGATGACGGCTCGGATAATGGGGATGACGACCTAGAAAGTACAACTAGTGCTCCAGCTGCTGGGAATGCAGAAAATCAAAGACACACAGAGGAGGAAAAGGAGCTTCCGCCACATGCATGCGCGTAAGTATCATGGTATATCACTAGATTGAAGTTTAGCTAACCCTAGATCGCCTTCAAGATATTGCGGCATTCATAACCCGAGCAGTGTTGTGAAATGTCTCTCATGCAGCAAGTGGTTTTGCAGCGCTCGTGGAAATACCTCGTCCTCTCACATTGTCAACCATCTCGTTCGAGCACGACACAAGGAAGTGCAATTACACCCTGCCTCGTCTCTCGGAGATACAATTTTGGAGTGCTATAATTGTGGAACTAAGAACGTCTTTCTTCTTGGGTTCATCCCAGCGAAGTCTGATACGGTCGTTGTATTACTATGCCGTCAGCCTTGTGCCGCCATGCCGTCGTCTAAGGATATGAACTGGGATACTTCTCGTTGGCAGCCACTAATAGAAGATCGTTCGTTTCTGCCATGGCTTGTAGCTGCGCCATCTGACCAGGAGCAGCTGCGAGCTCGCCACCTCAGCCCTCAGCTCATTGCGAAACTGGAGGAAATGTGGAAAGAAAACTCCCAAGCCACGTTTTCAGATCTCGAGAAGGCCACTGCTGTAGATGACGAACCTGCCCCTGTTCTTTTGCGTTATGATGATGCTTTCCAGTATCAGAACATTTTTGGACCACTCGTCAAGATTGAGGCGGATTATGACCGGAAGTTGAAGGAGTCACAGTCGCAGGATGGGTTGATTGTGCGTTGGGATCTTGGTCTCAACAACAAACATCTAGCTAGCTTCATTCTACCAAAGCTTGAGCTTGGAGATGTCAAACTGGCTGTGGGAGACGAAATGCGACTGAAATACACTGGCGAACTTCGGCCCAAGTGGGAAGGGGTTGGATACGTCATCAAGATCCCGAATAACCAGTCTGATGAGGTTACTATTGAATTGCGAGCAAAGGGAGATCATAAGTCGGTGCCTACAGAGTGTACACACAATTTTACTGCCGACTATGTATGGAAGTCCACCTCCTTTGATCGTATGCAACTCGCCATGAAGACGTTCGCAGTTGATGAGATGAGCGTTTCTGGCTACATTTTCCATCGGCTCCTGGGTCATGAGGTCGCTGCTGCACCAATGAAGACACAGATGCCCAAGAAGTTCAGTGTCCCTGGGCTTCCAGAACTAAACGGTAGCCAGATCAACGCAGTCAAGAGCGTCCTACAGAGACCACTGAGTCTTATTCAAGGACCTCCCGGAACCGGAAAGACTGTCACTTCAGCTACCATCATTTATCATCTTGCCAAACTTAATGGCGGCCAGGTCCTAGTCTGCGCTCCTTCCAACGTCGCTGTTGATCAACTCTGCGAGCGTATTCACAGAACCGGTCTGAAGACAGTGCGTGTAACCGCCAAATCCCGTGAAGATGTGGAATCTCCCGTTGGCTTCTTGTCTCTGCATGAGCAAGTTCGCTTGAATGATAGCAATATTGAACTCCTGAAGCTTAATCAGCTCAAGTCGGAACTCGGGGAGTTGTCGAGTCAGGACGAAAAGCGATTGAAACAACTCACGCGTTCAGCGGAGCGCGAGATTTTGAACAACGCTGACGTTATTTGCTGCACTTGTGTCGGCGCTGGTGACCCACGCCTCGCGAAACTCAAGTTCCGCACTGTATTGATTGACGAATCTACTCAATCAGCCGAACCGGAGTGCATGATTCCATTGGTTCTAGGATGTAAGCAAGTTGTCCTCGTTGGTGATCATCAGCAACTTGGGCCCGTCATTATGAACAAGAAAGCAGCTAAGGCAGGTCTCAACCAGTCGCTTTTTGAGCGACTCGTTATTTTGGGTTGCTCTCCTATCCGCTTGAATGTGCAGTACCGTATGCATCCCTGTCTTTCTGAATTCCCTTCGAACATGTTTTACGAGGGCTCTCTGCAAAACGGCATTTCATCTATTGAGCGTCTTCGTCGTGATGTTGATTTCCCATGGCCCATCAGCGACAATCCTATGATGTTCTGGTCGAACTTGGGTAATGAGGAGATTTCCGCCTCTGGAACATCTTATCTCAATCGTACAGAGGCTACAAATGTGGAAAAAATTGTGACCCGTTTCTTCAAGGCTGGGGTGCAGCCTCAAGACATTGGTATCATTACCCCTTATGAAGGCCAGCGTAGCTACATCGTTAGCTCCATGCAGGCAACTGGTACCTTTAAGAAGGAACACTACAAGGAGATCGAAGTTGCTTCCGTTGATGCTTTCCAGGGACGAGAGAAGGATTTCATCATCCTGTCTTGTGTGCGTTCCAACGACCACCAAGGCATCGGTTTCTTGAGCGATCCCCGTCGTCTCAATGTCGCACTTACACGAGCGAAGTATGGTCTCGCGATCCTTGGTAACCCGAAGGTGCTATCTAAACATCCCTTGTGGAACTGCCTGTTGCAGCACTTCAAAGAACGGCATTGTCTAGTTGAGGGCCCTCTGTCCAATCTCCAGGAATCCCTAATCCAGTTCAGCCGCCCTAAACAGGCATATAGAGGGCCCCAGCGATTCCAGATGGCTTATAACCACGCCTCTAGCGTGACAAGTGGAATGATGAATGGAAGAAATGGCCACCGCAACGACTTCCACGACACCGGATCCGTGGTGGGCTATATTCCTGACGATGTCTCCTCTGTACACTCTTCTGCTCTTGGTGGTGTTGGTATCCCTTCAGGATATCCTCCTATGTTCCAGAACTTCGCAGACTCTTGGCCTACCCTCCCAGGAAATCGTCGGGCCAATGGTAACAGAGGGAAGGGAGCACCTAGCATTGCTGGCGAATCCATTGCGGCGACAGAATCCGACGTTACTGCAAGCATCATCGATGGCAAGAGTGTCGACCAGGGCGGCGTGAGTCTCGCTGGACTTAGTATCCATGATATGAGCAAACAGCCCAGTCTCAGTCAGTCCGACCGTTTGAAACGCTATGTCGAATCCGGTGGTCGCGAACCCTACAAGCCTGGTGTTGCTGATAATAACAGCATCTTTGGTGGAAGCTCTGCCAGCATTCGTGTTACTCGTGGTGTACCAGGCCATATCATTGATGACGACGACACACGCAGCGTTTCTACGGCGTTTGCGAGCCAGGTAGGGGGAAACTACGACTGATTGCGGTAACATTGCGTTGTACGCTAGTCTGGGTGGCACCAGAACCTTGCAGCTCTCGCAAAAGCCCGGGATACGACTGTTCGCAGCACTGTTGGGCCACTCGAACATCTTTCGGTGACCTGAGAGGCCGCTCGAGTTGTTGACCGTCTTTTTGGGCATGACAAACCCGCACCTTCAGGGTAGCATCAATGGAAACATGTCTCAGCCAAATGGTGGAAGATGGAAAATATTCCTCGAACCTCGTATCTTCCTTCCACAATACATATATCTATATTAAGATATCACCGTTACCTTCCCAAGGGTCCAAGTAATGACTGTGCCATTTGTGGGGTGAACATGTCCAGTATCCTTGGCAGGAATATGGTCCTCCGTGAAGCAAAGTGGGATTGGTAGTGGTCCGGCATGCATTTGACACCTGTCGAATTGATCCTTAGCTGTCAAAGCTATGTCATATGAGGATTAATGGAATGTCCATAGATTCGTTCGGCTTGCAGGCGACTTCTCAGGCTACAGGAAAGCTTAAAAATTTCACATGCTGATGGCGAGAGTGAGCTCATCTGAAGATGCTATGGATCATTACTTTCTCTTTATCTTTTTTTACGTCTCAACTTGTGTTGTTTCAATTTTTTTTGACTCTCTCAGTAGCTGTTTTGCTTTGCTTGTGACACTGTCATGGTGATTCCGTCCTCCTATATCTTTGGAGAGCGAGCAATTGTTTACCTTTTTAACATTTGTTCACACGATTTGATCTTTGTCGGCAGGAGGACCTATCCTATGACTCGCTGCCAACTATGTCACTAAGCCCTAGCAAATGAAATATGATTGTTGCCTTCGTTTATAAGCTATTTCTGCACTAATACCTCAGGGAGCAACACGTCCATAGCAGCTGGACCTTTGTCCTTTCCACTGTAGGCTCACAAAACCTTACCATGGGCTGGTAGATTTACGCTGAGCTGGCTACCTTGTGGCTGTAAAGGACCAGATTAAACCGCCCTGCAGCTCAAAAGTAGGCATCTACAAATTCTTACCTTGGCACCATCTAACCGAAGATCAGGATCTAGTAACCTCTTATGTAGTTCTTCTAGATAACGGCTGAAAAAGTAAACCTACCCACCAACTCAGCCACAGTGTCGATGAACAGCGATTGATCCATTATCGCCCTTTAGTCGGCTACATTGGTCCAGCTGGATCGGTAGGAGCTGAGAGTGACAGGATTGGCTCATGCATCTCGGGATGTCGCGGCCGAATCTGATATTGCAAAGCTGCGCCACTGGGGGATCGACCACCCTTATTCATCCTTGAAGGCTGTACTAGTAGTGCTAGGATCTGAGGTGCATGCATGATTCTAATATTATCCATCATAATGATGGTGCCTGTTCTTGCCTATACACTAGGTTATGTTTATTTTTATTTTTCACGTTTGAGGTGATGCTTAGCTTGCATTATTGTTCTGTGGCTGACGGTACGTTGGTTGTGCTCACGGTACAGTAGTAGTAGTTGTGCTGATGGTGCAGATAATAAAAGATGAAGCCAAAACATCAGGGAGACTTTAAAAAAATTATAGTAACATTAAAGAAAAGAAAAAAAAAAAGAGGGAGAGAGAGAGAGAGAGAGAGAGAGAGAGAGAGAGAAAGAGGAACATGATTTACGTAGACAGGCAACCAGGTCAAATTGCGGTGTCAAGTGTCGAATACTTTCAGCGTCAAAAAGTGGACACTGTTTCGTTGACAACTAACACCTGGCGAAGTCTATCTACTGTGGTATGTACTAGTAGTAATGTATACAGAAAACAACATCCACATGTCGAATTAACTTTGTATTTACTCTGTACTTCTCACTCTTCCTTCACATGGACTATAGCAGTGGTAGTATAGGTGAGATTTAAACGTCTAACCATCTTTCTAATTGCTTTCGCCTTGGTTCGCCTTCGCCTGAGAAGCCAATCATAGTTCAGCTATTGAACCAGCGGTGCGCCGACTGTCCGCCCGATGCAGGCGTTTCTCAGCAGCCCCTAGATTGGGCAAGAAGTTGTTGGCAATGTACCCATTGGGTACCTTAGGTACCGATCCATGAGGTCATGTTTGCTCGGTACACCCGACGTGGCCTGGTAGATGGTGTCAACTTAATCCGGCAGTTTACGAGTAGCCTGCAGCAGGGTCTATCCCTCAAGCGGGATACAGTCGTCTAGTGGATATTGATGGCAGTGGCATCTACCAGTACTACGCGGTTTGGTGGTTAATTGATCGGCACCTGGCGATGGCGGTGTGGCTGAGAACCTTTCCCAGCCACGTGCCATGGTCCTCATTGGCAGGTTACGGTGAGGCCGCGATCCCGGTGTGGCGGATGCCAAAACCCAGATGGAACCAAAGGCGCCGTGCAATGTTCTTCAGCTTTTAACCCATTTCCCCCAACTACCTTATGATTAATGTCGTGTATTCATTCTCCGTTACTACCCAGGTTGTATTTGGTTGCCTGACGTCAACCTTGCAAATGAGTCATTAGTCGAGGCCTAAAGATTTGATACCTCGCTACTACTACGCTTAGATTTGCGCAGTTGCCGCTTTCTGTGATTCAGCGCCTACAAATACACCGCGTCTCCATCGGTTACATCGGACCACGTGTGCAGGATACCCTTTGGTCGAAGTTATTTATTATCTTATTTTGTGAAGCGGTCTTTGGGGGGAAAAAAAACTATATTATGATTAATTGTCTTCCTTGACCGTGTTCTCAGCATTACTACTTTACTACTATTACCCACCTCGGCATAGCCCTTGAATCGAGTGGCGTTGCTGCCAAGACTGATTAGTCATTAGTGGAACTGGATGCCTTGTTGTTACCTGAAAAATTCGGCACCCCCCGTTTTCCTGAGGAACCTACACCCTTCAGTGTGCCACTGAGAAGGACTACAAGATCGACGCCTCTTTTTTTTTTTTCTTTTTATTATAGCGCACTTATCTTCAACCTGAGCTCTTCACGACTCTCGATCCTTTGAAATCCGATTATCATCCACGAGCGTTGCTTTCTTAGCTCGTCCTCATCTATCCTAACAACCCGCCTCATCTCAATTGACGGCGGGGTCCACTACGATATGGGAGACGGTTCTGATTATCCTAGCCCACGAAGCGAAGGTCCCGGCGGGCCTGCAACTGTCCTTGTTACTGCTGCTCAAGACCCTCTCCCTCCAGCACCCAAAATGACTGATCAACTGTCTCCAAGTTTCATGGAAGGAACTCGTCCGCGACTGTCGGTGAGACGGGCGCGAGATCCACCCAAGAACGCTGCAGGCCAGATTTATTGCGACCATCCTGAGTGTCAGCACGCGCCTCCGACGTTCCGCCGCCCATGCGAATGGAAGTAAGTGCTTTCCCCATGCACTCCTTTGATTGCTGACAAAGCTAACCATGGCATCACCAAATAGCAAGCACATGGATAAACATGACCGCCCTTACAAGTGCTTAGAACCTGGATGTGACAAGATTCAAGGATTCACGTACTCCGGTGGCCTTTTGAGACACCAGCGCGAAGTGCACAAGAAAAACATAAACGCCAAAAAACCTTTGATGTGCCCATATGCCGACTGCAATCGCAGCACAGGCAACGGATTTACGCGTCAAGAGAACTTAAAGGAACATCTTCGACGCCGCCATATGCATACCGACAACGGACACGCGTCAGAACTATCTATTGTGCCAGTGCCTGAACTGGATGGTACCGCGGCCCTGCCAGTCACCTCGCCTGTCAAGCGAAAACGTGACTCGATCGATTCGGTCGAAATTCCTGACGAAGAAGAAAACGGTGTTGACCTGCGGAATGAAATTAAGAGACTGCGACGCGAAGCCCAAATGAAAGATCGGCGGCTGGAGGAGTTGGAAAGAATCGTTGCGGATTTGCAGCAGAGGATTCCGCAGACTGCAGTCTCGCAGGGATAAGTGGGCTTGGATTGTGGTCTCATCAGAAATATTAATTTGCAATGCGTGTAGCTCTTCCATGAGTTGACATGTTTTCCTTTCTCTTTTCATTTGGCTTTGCTTTGACCCCTTTGTTTTTTTTTTTTTTTTTTTTTTTTTTTTTGCTTTGCATTCCACGGGCGTTTTCACATGCAGACTGCTGGCCTCTGGGTTTGCGTTCAATGTTTACAACATCAGTGGGTGGTTTATATGGATCGATCTACATCTCAGAACGCGTGGTTTACAACAGGCAGCTCTGAAGAATCTGGCGTTTGCTCGGGGTTGATAATACGGACCCGGCGGTGTTATTATGGTTGTCTCCCTTTCTATTCCCTGAAATATACCCAGGCGTTTTCAACCCATCTCCTTTGTTAGCCTCAACAACCCCAAACTTGTCTTTGTATTCCTTTTCTCTCTTCTCCATACGACATTGTGGCATTCTGAATCGTGTCAACCAGTGCCTGTACACGGTGAAGAATGTATTGCCTTATAGTGTATACACATGGTATTTGCAAGTACAGCTGAACAAGCTTCCCTAGTCACACTATCTGGCAGGGTTTATATCGTTCTTTCTCGTAAAAGTTCAGGTGTGCACACACTGGTCTAGTAGGCATGGATTATTGTGTCTCGTGATTGTAATAGTAACCTCTTTTGCTTACAAGCTCCTGATTTGTTACCTGCCACTTATTTTCCTTTTACACTTACTATAGCGTGTCGGTTAGCTAAATCTGTCTTTCACATGGCAAGTAGCCCTGACCATACGATTTTCGTATCAAAATAAGGCTAGTGTATAATAGCCCTGCAATATCGCGAAGACTATTCGCCACAACGATGGTAAAAGGGCTTTAGTTCGTGGGTAAAGTCACTTGTGACTCCAAATGACTCGTAATTAATATGACTGTACGGTGTTTGACTCAACCCCTGAGTTGCCTATGCGCTGCGCTCGCTCCAGAAGTATTCGCAGTAGTTACTAGATCTGAAGATGGATCATCTTATGGGAAGTCGTATGACAGCGTCATGTGAAGTTAATGCGTGGGGGGGGCTCCTGCTGCAGTACAGTAGTACTTGTTATAGATCGAAAGAGGAATTGCCTTAGGTCTTGCTTAGGTTGCTTACTGGTGTAGCCATATTAGCCAAGTAGTTCTTATGTGTATATATATTCACAAAGCAGATTGTGTATATTGCTGAGTCAGCTGATTTATGCTGTTGCGGCCTGGCGAGTGACTTGTCGCTGCCTGCCAAACAAAGCCATCGGATTTAGTTCGCATAAGAATGGCATATGCGATAACCAGGACAACGATCCCTACAATGTCGGCTCCTTCATATCTGGTACACTGACACAATGGCTACTCAATCTCACATGGCCATCACGTTTGATGCAAACAAGTGTTGCGCTCTTTAAACCCCTCATAAGATTAAACTTGGATCTTACGCTCTAAACTTTTGGGCGTCCCTCATGAAAATTACACTCTGTACTATCTCTTATTGGCACTACGTGGATTGGCCTGTTCCTGACCGGTTCCTGACCAAATACAACTTAACTTTGAAGCATCATATTACCCGTCCAGACTGAAGCCCAAAAGAAAAACATGGCTCATTCATCTCCTTTCACGGAGGTCCCAATGTCCCAACAAACAGACTCTCCTTATGTTCGGACCCAGCAATATACACGAGGTGCTGGTAGACTCCTCCAACAACCAGCCGTCCCAATGCAAGCCGAATGGTGTCTCCCCAAACTAGACCCCGTTACCTCTGCTACTCATATCTTCCCTGAAGGAGAATTCGTCCCACGGGGGTTCTTTGGAAATATCGGCCCAGAGTGGTTCGTTCCCGAAACAGAACAAAAGGAATGGAAGTACTACATGCGCAGAGAGGCCCAAAAGATTTTACCATTTCTCTACCTGGGTCAATATGCCTCCGTGAAAGACAGGCACTGGCTCAAGCGCCAAGGTTTCACTTTACTTTTGGCTATTCGAAATGAACGGTTTCCACACATCTGTGGCAAGAATGCAGCTGCCGAGCTGGGAATTGAAGCTGCGACTTTTGCCGTCCCGCAGATTCAGGATTTTGTATCCATAGGACCTCATGTGATTCGAACCATCAATGAGCATATCTCATCTTCGCATACCCCAGTATCCAACGAATGGCCTTACAAGAAAGTTTTTGTATTTTGCGAGACTGGAAATGGTTATTCAGGCTTAGCACTGGTAGCGTACCTGATGGTAATGCTAGACTTGAAGCTGCACCACGCCTTAGCTGCGGTTCATATGCAGCGACTATCAGTTGAAGCCGATGAACCATCGAGACAAATGCTAGCTTCACTCGAATCGATCGTTATTGCCAAAAGGAACGTTGAGGAGGCCAGACGAGCAGCCACGGAAGGCACAAGCTTGATGGTTCCTCCCCAGACTGTATGCAAAAAGAGGAGTTTTATACATCGAGATGAGGACGAAGCTATGGAAGACATCCTGGATATGGGCGCAGATGAAGATGCAGCCTCTGATAGAAAGCCTGTGGCTCCATTCCAGGACCGTTGACAATGAATCGACTGGAACGGAATATTTGTTTTACTTATGATGATTTGGTTTGGAATGGTATTGGTCATCATAGAATTCGTGAGGATGACGTTGATTAAACACCACTTCCTTTTTAACAATCTGCTCTTGCACCTTCTCTTTTTATTTCTTTGTACATTACAAGTTCAATCATCCTTCAGGGTACTGATCTTCAATCACCTGAAGTGACTTACAAACTACTAAACAATCAGCATTCTCTATTCTATTTAATTTTACAAAGCACACTTGATAAGTTTCAACCCCGTTGTCTCCAGTCTAAGCCTAGCCCTTCCATTATTTAAGATATTTATCCTTTGTTGTCCGGTTTTCTCCAAGTTCTCACCGACTCAAGTGTGACCATGATTTTTGCTATTATTCACTGTCCCTGAGGGGAGGGGCCCTTGACCCATTCACTGTCTATCGTTTCCAGCATTTCATGTACATTTCTCAGTCTGTTCGCGTCAAATCTAACCTACAATTACTTATTTATGAGACTGGAAAACAACCACCATGCGACTCCGCGATAGTATCCGACCTCCTGAGCGCTATGAATCAGAGCATTTTTACACGTCGCTAGGTCAAAAGTCACTTCGCCAGCACAGAAATGAAAACCGTCCTCCTTACATCGATTTCAACCCCTACCTGCCTCCCGCTGTCTTTCCCACTCTGGACTTCCCCCGCCCAGCGGTACCAGAGGCTGACCAAGGTGCGCAGAGGAAATGGGGAGAAGAGGCCAACAATGCAATCACTTCACAGCATGGTCGCGAGCAACCTGCCAGTCATGGCGAGCCCAGGGATAACAGAGATACAAGAGTCGATTTCGAGGATATCCCTATCCATCAGGTTGAGAACTACGTTTCAAGCAACGGAGACTTGAACCCGTTCTACGTCCAAAATATGGCTACGATGGCTGCTGCAGACTCATCATCTGCGAGTAACGATTTGCACAATGAAACTGACGACAGCATCGATGCTTATGATGAGGTGAGCAGACTATACACTCGATGTACTCCACCATGTAATGATCGGCAATGTGGAATATGGCTTTTCTACTAACAAAGTACTAGTCTACGCATGGGACGTCTGACCCTAAGTGGAGCGATTTGTGTCCTGGAATACAAGTGGAAATTTTCGATAATCTTCTTCAGTGCTACACTTGGAAGGACGCATGTCATAAGTTAAATTTGTCTAGAGAAGATCAGGAGGAAGTCGAAGAGCATATATCCGCCCGTGATAAGCAAATGGAACGGGAAGCATCTCAGATGAAGAATATGCGGAGGAAGCAATTGAGAGCGCTCTTGAAGATTGATAACAGCGCAAGACATCTCCAGGATTCACACCAGTTTGTTTTTCGCAAAATCTCTCGAGGGATCATTGGTCATCTGCGACCGAGTACTAGGCCAGACTATCTCATGTGCCATACCAAAGACGTCATGGATGCTAAGAAGTATTTGGGCCAACAAGGGTTAGACTCTAGGTACGCTGGGGACTGGGGTAACAGTATCAGCCCTACTCACCCCTCTGAAAACGACCAAGACCAGGATATGAGCAATCTAAAGAACCAGGTGAACTGCGCGCAATACATGGAACTAGCCACAGATACGACTGATGATTACATGATGGACTTTGCTTTCGATAATAAAGCTCCGACTTCGATCCTGGATAAGCAGTCATTTATCAATACAATCGGGGCGGCAGCTATTGTTAGCGCGAGGGATATGGCACTATGCAGAGGCAACTTAAATGCAGCCCCAAGATGGCTGAATCTTCTTTACCAGCATTCTATACGGAACTACCAACCAGCCTTCCAGGAGAATAAACTTGTTTGTCTCAAAATTGGTACCGAGCGTGCCGCCCAGATTCACGATACTCAAACGATAGCTTGTATTCAGCCAGCGAAATTGGTAAAACGTTTCCCTCCCATTGATGCTATTTACTATGACCCCCCTTCCTGGACCCCTGGAACTACTCAAAATAATCGAGCCGGGGCTAATTCAACAATGCCTCCAAGACCTAGGCCAACTTTGAGCAGCGAACCACAGCCTCTAGAGAGAACAATGGGTGGGAACTGGTCATATAGCTCTTTCGAACCTCATCCAGCTACCTCTTCTAAGAGATTCCAACAAAAATTGGAAGAGGCACGACTGGAGACACAAAGGGCGAGAAGACGAGGAACGCAGCAACTTGCAGGTGGTAGAGGCTATGAACCATATTTTACCCCGAGGCAAAGCCCTGAAGGTATAAGTCGGTCACCCTCAACCACCACTGGGGGATGTATGTCACCTAATAGCTCGAACGAGCTTTACGGTGTATCGATGCCAAGTCATAGTGAGGGATCTTCAAGAACAGTCACTTCTATTGGGGCTTCTCTTGATGATTCTACGGAACGGAGGACTGCTCCAGGAACTATGTGTTCGCCAAGCATCGCTTCCAATTCATATCACAGCGAAAATCTTTGGGCTCAGCCTAGTGTCGCACATACGATGGGAATTGATGCAGAACAAGAAAGGC